TGGAGAAGCTCTGAAGGAACTTTCCCTAAACTAACCGAATTGGTTTTTAAACACCTCTCAGTGATGGCCAGTTCCGCGCCAGCCGAAAGATTATTTTTGAAAGCGGGAAATATTGTCAGGAAAATACGAAACCGTATTTTGGGAAAGAGACGAAGAAGAATTTTGGTGAAATGATTGTTTTTAAAGTCTTTAACTGAAAATTCATGGCAATATTTTTTTTTACCTTTTTTGTTTACACAAGTTTAAAAAAAGATTTGTCTTGTATCTTAGTTTTGAGATCAAAAGGTTGTCGTCGGATTATTTATAATTATATTTTCATTCTAATCCAATGTAAATGATACTGAACATTAGTGGCGTAATGATATTTAGATTTTTTGTTTGTTCAAACTTAGTTTAAAAAAAACTATCGTTTACTAAAATTATGGTTTCATAATGATTTCTTATATTTACGCGAAGACTACACATTAAATGAAATTAATTTTTACGGATTTGATCACGCTTAATTTAACTTTTTAATTCCTGACGTTTCGGGTGCTTCACAGCACCCATGGTCACGGGGGGAACTGAGGTCTTTGACGTCCAGATGTCATAGTTAGCCTGTCTAAATTCAGTTTTTGAATATTAATTTTTGGTCCGATCGACGCAGAATGAGCTTACAGTATCTTGAAGTCTTACAGTGGTATGCTAGGGTTTGGATTTAATTTTATTAAAAATAGGATGCCAAGCAGATGGCAGCACCCATCCATCTTCTCTATTGAAATAAGGATGTTTTTTAATTTCGATAGCCTCGCGAATCATCCTTGGTAGGAATCGGTGTTCTTTTGCGAGGATTTGTGGTTCAACTATGACATAGGGACGTTAAACACCTCAGTCCCTTCTGTGACCATGCGTGCTGTAAAGCACCTGAAATGTTGGGAATTAAAAAGTTAAATTAAACGCGATAAAATCCGTAAAACTTAGTTTAATATATCGTTTCTGTTTATTTTGGTTGTAATAAATTGTTACATGGCACTGAACATTTGTGGCAGTAATTATTTTTAGTTTTGTATTGTTCAAAGTTATATCTTAAAAAAATTGTTCTGTAGTTTATTTCTAAAACCAGAAGATTATTTTTCGAATAAAATTTTTTTTTCGTAAAAATCGATTATGTTTTTATAAAAAATCGATTTTTCCTAAATCGATTATTATCACAAAGCAAAAAATCGATTTTTTTATTAATCGATTTTTTTCACTGAATGTCACATCCGTAGATTAAGCTAGATGCTAAAATTTCGAAATGCGCGCTATACATTCCAAAAAAGCGCTAAATCTAGTTCCCAAAGCGCTAAAATGGCAGTGCTGATTTTGCGTATATTATAAATACAACATAACGATATTTCGTTGCAAAATTTTTATTTTTGGTCGGGTTCCGTTGTGAGGCTTCGATGGATACAAATTTCTTCAGTAAGTCTCAATACGATTCATCGGCGAAAAATCTCAACACAGCAATTCAGAAAAGTTTGTAATTTGTACAGCTCCATCTATTACGTCCTTTGTGTGAGAAAACATCCTTTTTAAATCTCTTTTTGTGTTTTAAGTATAAATATATTAATTATTATGGAACGTTTTTTTCCCACACAAATCTTTTTATTACTATTTCTGAGATTTTATGGCGCCATTGAACAAATTCGAACCTACATTTCAAAATAATAATCATTACTTTCGATAGAATTAACCAATTTTAATAAAACAAAGATTAAATGTAAGTCGAAGATACGCTTTATGATTTTCTTAACGATTTCTTTGCAGATAAAAGATGTTTACTTTAGACGTGATGCGTTCATATAATAACAGACAAATAGACAGACACACAATTCTAAAAATTATAAAATGTTCTTATTTAATTATTTTCAGTTCCCCATAATGATTTTAGCCACCAAAATATATATACAATGTACAGAAAGAGACACAACATGTTATCATCATTTTTATTATATGTATATATTTAAAGAGAGATGGCGCTGCTAACACCAATTTTAAAAATAAAAGAGATTAATTGACGCGATTGATACATTATATAAAACGCAAGAGAACTTATAAATCAGTGCCTGCACAGTAAGCAAAAAATAAAGTTTGACTCTCGTCAAAACCAACGCAATTGTTAATAGCTCTTTTAAAATTTGATTTACCACATAGAGTACTCGGCGGTAAAGAATAAATTGAGTTTGTCAACACGCAGTAGGGCGGCGAGTAATATAATAAAGATTAGCAGTAAATATGAAAACTCATCTAAAGGAAAAAACCACATTGCAATTGCATTACATTTTCACAACACCACCATCTATCGAAGAAATGGGTTAACTATTGTGCTTCAGATTTAGTTAATAAGGTTAATATATTTTTGTATAATATATTTAATACGTTCTTTAATACTTTTGTTTACTGCGTTTTAGATATACATAATTATATCATTATTTTACATAATTTAACTATGATTTATGATATGATATTAGTTTAAAATGCACTTGATGACTCATCCAACGCCACTATTGAACAAATTCGTACCTATACTTAGTACCCATACTTCAGAATATTTATCATAACTTTTGATGGAATGAACTGATTTTAATGAAATAAAGACTAAATGTAACCCGAAGATACACTTTATAATTTCCTTAACAATTCTTATGATATAAATTAGTACTTTATACGTGATACGTTAACAAACAGACAGACAGACAGACAGACAGACAGAAAATTCTAAAAATGGTAGAAATGTATTTAATTACTTATTTTTAGTACCCCTCAATCACTTTTATTACAAAAATATAAAATGTACAGACATCTGCTATTTACAGTTTTATTATATGTATAGAATAGATAATAATTTTAAACCAATTCAATGCTATGAACTAAATAATTTAAAACCTATCTGCAACCTGTCTTCATATTTGCTTTTTTACGGTTTTCAAGACCATTTGAAACGTTTTCGCAGAAGTTTTATGTGTATACATATATTATGTAAGGTACGTTGGGGTAATACCGGACGGATTTTCGAATAGTTGGAAGTCTGCCAAAAACTTTAATTTCTCGACATTCGTATACGTCAGATTTATGGAACATGGAGCAAACCGTTAATCGTTAAACGTAGTTTAGCTCTGAGAATCTTTTGCTTGTGTAAACTCAACGGTTTCTGCTTTAAAGGTGTGCGAAAACTAGACATACTTTTTTATATGCATAATGAAAAATTGGCCACTAAGGGGTAAGACCGGACTTAAATTTAAAACCACTTCTACTGCTCAGAGAAAAAAGTTTATAAAAGAGATTTGTCCTATCTTTAACGCTCAAAAACATATTTCAATATGATCTATAAATTACTAGAAACATAAATGTTCCAAACGATTTTCTCTTTTTTTGTTTCTTGCCATCCGATCTTATCCCTGATATAAAGAAATTGTAATTTTATGTTTCTCAAACTTTGTTATGACATAAGATGGAATTACTCAATATAAGAGAAAGATCGGATGCATTTGATTTTATATGGGAAAAAAAAATAACAGTAAGGACTGGCGAAATGCCCTGGGATAATGCAGGAGTTAAGGAAGATATAAATATTTTAACAAAGCGGCATTTATTATTATAAATTATTTTTTAAATAATTATTATAAATTACATTTTGATTTGTAATAGAGGATAGATATAGATGTCTATGGGCCGCAGCAATCACTTAACATCAGGTGGACTGTGCGCTCCTTTGTCACTCTTATCCTATAAAAAATATATTTTAATGTGTACTTAAAAGTAATAAAACCATCGTATTGTTTTATTACTTTTAAATATACAGACTTGCTAACAAGACTGAGTCCCATAGTCACTTGAGTAATCGACGAAAAAATATACACGACCAATGAAAGTTTAACAACCACTGCCATATTTGTAACAGGCAAAGATCGGATAATATTCATCAGATCTTCACTCACGAGGGGAAACATCGGATCTCGGCCTACAGCGATCTTACCCCTGCATGGACCAGCTTTATTTAGCTATAACTTCATAAAAATTAGTATCCACACAAAATAATAACAAAAGAAGCCATATTCTCGCTAAAAATAGTAAATAAAAGTGATAGGGAAAGATCGGATGGACAAAAATAATACAAAAATTACATTGTTTTATAAAATGCCACGCAGCACAGGTCCCACTTGCCGGAGTGACTGGCGCGAACTGAGGGTCGGGGCAGGATGAAATGGCGTCGTGTAGCATATTGTTAGCTTTTCAAAATATAGCATAATTCGCCGGGAATTTGAATCCTACGGTCTTGTCCCATCACCGATCTTACCCCAACGTACCTTATATAGAGGATTTCGTAATCAAGTTGTAAAAAAAAGGACATTAGTAAATGTGCAAAGCTGGCACAAGTCACTAATTAATAAACTAAGACACTCAGTAAATCATAAAATGTTTCATAAGTCTTTTATTAAATCCGTTTATACTATCAAATATGCTTAAAATTCTGAAGTATGGGTACGAAGTATAGGCACAGAATAAATAATAGTATAAGTATAGGTAGAATTTGTTCAATAGTGGCATTGAGTCATCAAATGCATTTTAATCTAATCTTAGAAATTTTAATTAAATTATGTAAAATAATATTTCATTCATCATAATTTAAATAACACAGAATACAGTTAACAAAAAAAAATGTTTTCTCGCAAAGATTAATGTAATCTTAGTAAGAAAATTGTACTTTTTCTTACTAAGATTAGTTGCATTGTCATCAATAAATGGTGTTGTGCAAATGTAATGCAAAAAGATGGGTTGGGATTTTCTTCCCTGTATGTATGAGCTTCTTCATGATTGCTGCTGATCTTTATATTACTCATAGAGGGAATAAATATACCAATATAAACTTTATTATGTAGTTCTATAATGTAATAACAAGTACTTGTTTTCCGTCCCTCTCAATTATTTTTCTCACAATAATATACAATCTACAGACACCTGCTATTTTCATTTTTATTGTATGTACCTATATAATACATTAACGATAAGATGTAGGGCTAGAATGTCAATCAAAAAATGTTATAAACATGTGGTAGAATTAAAAATTTTGTACAACCGACTTCAATATAAAAAGAGGACATCCTCAATGGAATGTAGACACTCAGTCTCAAAAACTACTGGTCTTGATCAAATTTATATGACCACTTATGAAGCACCACTTAAATAAAAACAAAATCGGTTCACATATTTTTGTTTTTATTTGAAAGTAAATTACGTATGCATATAATCCTTTGAAATTTCTAATTTTATATTTTTTTTTCACTTCATTACTTTGTGAACGATATTTACAAATCAAAAATCAACAAGCAAAAGAGAAATCTCAAAATATCATCAGCTCGTAAGTTTATTACAAGACATAGGCTTCTCCCATTGTAGGTGATCCTCCCACTAAGGTGGGTACTCATCTGATTTCCCATAATTGCTTGGCTTTTACGTAACCAATACCTAGGTGTAGTTATTGCGAAGTATATCATAAACCATTAGAATTTTCTCCCAGTATCTTACTACACACCCAGGATAATGGGCTTATTGATTCATTTCACCACTCTACACTCACCGTACGAAACATTAAGCTCTTATTTTATTCTTGTATTGTGTGAGAGCATGGTCCTAACTCAGTCGAGCCGACCAATTCGTGCTACAACCATAAAATAGCTGCAGCATGGCTCTACCATGTACAAGAAGTGTTTAATTCATCCATGCACTAGGTTAATTATATTACTCTATTAAATTATAAAAATATCAATATATTGATTATTACTGTTTCAAGTTGGAATATTACTTTAATTATTTAAATATTTTTCCCATACTCTAGAGCAAATATATCATGATTTATTTCACTTGGAAAAATAAAATCATACAATTAAAGGCAGAATATATATACAAAATATACCATTTAATTAAGCAAAATAATGCAAAATACTGTCATCTAATTATTATCAGTCTGTTAATAATTATTAACATGCTGAGGATCAAGAAGTTAATTCTAATAGATTAAAAGATTATGTAAATGTTTAAACTCTTTAAGAAAATTACTAGATATTTATCAATGAAAAAATCAAAATTTAGTTTAAGAAATTTTATTTTGTTTTACTTTTAGACTTTTAATTCAGAATATGGTGACTTGGTCAATGGGATGTCCCGCCATAAATCTGGTGTCAGGTAGGCATAGGTCTTAGCAATTGCAGCATAGGTTGCTTTAGCAAAATTGCCCAATGTACCAGTTGATCCACGAGCAGAAGTGTAACAATCTTGAACACCAGCCATCTGGAGTAGCTTTTTAGGAACAGGAGCTGATACAATGCCGGTACCACGGGGTGCAGGTATAAGTCTTACAGTTACTGATCCACACTTTCCAGTGACCTGAAATTTGTTACAAATATTAGTATAATCTAGCATATTAAATTAAACATTTATTTTTGAATATGACATCAGACGCATAAAAAGCTTCATTGGACAGACCTCAAGAGGATACCACGAATGAAATGATTATTGGTTATCATCATTAAACACAAAACAAACTTGTAAGTAAAAAATTTTTAAGGAATAATCGAAAAATAAAATTACCTTGCACGGCACAGTGTGAGGTTTTCCAATTTTATTACCCCAGTATCCTCTACGGACAGGAAGAACTGATAATTTAGCAAGTATAATCGCGCCTCTGATGGCAGTGGCTACTTCCTTGCTGCATTTAACTCCAAGCCCAATATGTCCATTGTTGTCTCCAATGGCTACAAACGCCTTAAAGCGAGTGCGTTGTCCGGCACGTGTTTGTTTCTGTACAGGCATAATCTTAAGAACTTCATCGTTCAATGAAGCGCCAAGGAAGAAATCAATTATTTCAAATTCTTTGATGGGCAAAGAGAAAAGATAAATGCTCTCAAGCTTGTCAATTTTTCCTTCTCGCACCAAGCGTCCTAATTTAGTGACTGGCACCCATTCTTTCTGGTCTTCTTTGCCGCGACCACGACCGCGTCCACGACCACGTCCACGGCCACGCGGGCCTCCACGACCCCTATCGCCACCACGAGAACCAAAGCCTCCGCGAAAACCGCCACGTCCACCGGCTGGAGCTGCGTCCGCCATTCTGTAAAATAATTAATATACTGTTTCAGAAAATTCAATGTTATACAAAAAAAAACTTTTTCAATTGTACAATCAGACGCGTAAAAAGCTATCACAGTGTCGTAAACACTATAGTAGATACCACGAATGAATTTTTGTAGAGTTTCATCATGAATACCCAACACGTGTTGCTAAGGTTACCTCAGGTTATATATATATTATGGAAAACACACGGCTATATAATAATCAAGCACTTAATGTTCAATTTAATTTAATAATGGACTAAATTAATAATCGTTAAAAGTAAATGATAAATAAATATAAGAAAATAAAGAATAATTCAAACTTACTTTGAACTGTGCACACAGTGGGACGTTCAATTACAAAATGGCCGAAAACTTGAACTTTTATACTTCATGTTGTTAATAGTTCACCAGTTCAAGTAGGCAAGTGTCATAGACCATACAGGCTAGTCTGATTAGTATTTTATTTGCCATAGAGCAACACGGGCCACCAGCGGATCGGAAGGAAGTAGCCATACACAGGCGTTCCCCTCTGTAAAAGTACAAGTCTATGCGGTCCTATGCGTAAAATAAAACTGGTTGCAGCTGAATCGAAGTTCTATAAAAATGTCGAGTTGTTCAGTTTTTTTTTGCTAATATGGCATTACCTTTCATAAATCCGCTGTGTCGTTTAATATTATTTTTATAGAATAAGGGTGACAAACGTTCACCTGATGGTAAGTGGTTGATGTGGAACATAGACGTCTGCTTCTTTATTCGATTTAAAATCAAACTGCAGATGCCTTGCCACCCCTGAGGATTAAGAAGATATGCCTAGTTTTCAATAATACGGGTCTCCGATTAGAGAATCTCACCATAAACAGATGACACAGACACAGAAGCATTGAGCTACTTTTTTACGCCGGTATTCCGTGAATGCGTAGTCCTTCCCAAGTCGAGCCGACCCATTCATGCTATAATCATAATATAGCTAGAGCATGGCTCTACCACGTATAAATATAAATAAATAATTTGAATCAAATTATTGCTATATGCTTCTTTTTAAACTTAAAAATTACAATAATAACGGACATGTTGTTTCAGATTTGTTTATCATCAAAGGCCGCACGCATATAGAAATACCAGCGTTTTAGACCGTTCCGTACGTAGGGGAATGACTGAGCAGTGAGAAATCTTGGGAATCTGAAAACCGGCTCTGATCTTCTTGTAGTAATAACTTCGGTATTACTACTACATATATTAAACGTTAAACGAAAACTAGTGTGATGTACATAAAATAAGCTTTTATAATAGATATACTCGAATGCCAAATTTTTACCAAATGGTGAGGCTCATTTCAAGCCTTTGTATTTAAACTTTTTGCTTATATATGTAAGGCAAATTAGACTACTTTTGGCTCAAGCCTCAAAAACCTATGATTTAGAGGATAGATGTAGATGTCTATGGGCCGCAGCAACCACTTACCATCAGGTGGACTGTGTGCTCGTTTGTCACCCTTATCCTATATAAAAAAAACCTATGAGGTGAATTCCCATATATTTAAGAGGTTGCACCAAAATTTCTTGACTTTAGAAGAGGATTTTTAAGGTAAAATAAAACTATATATAGGTATAGTTATGTAGTTTTATTTTCTTAGGACAAATTTTAAAGTATTCATTATTTATTGACGTTTTTATTGCTGATAGTATTTCCACACATTTTATTGATATATAATATTACTAGTGATCCGCCCCAGCTGCGCACGGGTGATTTCTGATCTTGTCAACACCGCCACCGACCGAGTCAGTCTATCGTGAATCTAAACCGTCGATTCAAATTAATTACACACACAAAATTTCATCAAAATCGGTCCAACTGTTTAGGTGGAGTTCAGTTAAATACACACGAGCAGAATAATATATTTATAAATTTATACCTTTCTCTTGAATCATTCTGTCTATTGTGGAAAACCCCATCAAAATCTATTACGTAGTTTAACAGATCTAAGCGTACAGAAGGCGGGAAACGACAATAAAAGTTTAATTTATTTTTATTTTAACGTACCGCACTGCTCTTTGTGGATGAAATCCGTTCTTGGTAATTTTTAACATGCCAAAAAAAATATTCTGGTCAAGGTTTGTACCCTTTTGTACCTTTGTTGTGTATAAGAGATATAGCTTGAAGATGTGATTTTTAAGTTAACACCCCCGCCACCCGCTGGTGAAATATATAAAATAGTTGTAAACGTTCTATATTTACAGTATATAACATAAATTTTAACCAAAAATAAACACGTCATAACATTGACGATGAAAATTAGTTTAGAGTTTAGTTTTATACCAACTTTTTCTACAAATCTGATAATAAGTGGCAATATTTTTGAAATATAGACGATTGTATCAGACGTAATATGATCGTTCCAATTCTTGATATAATCATTCCAATCCTACGTCATATCATTAATTATTCAATTTCTTGTAGTGTTTTCCCTTCAACCTGGAAAGATGCTTAAATTATACCAATACTTAAAAAATTAAATCCTGCATCCTTCATTGATTTTCGCCCTATATCCATATTACCATTCCTGTCCAAAGTCCTTGAAAGGCTTGTGTCTAATCAGCTTAACGCTTTCCTTTGTAATAATCACCTTTTAAATCCTCTACAATCTGGATTTCGTCGGGGGCATAGCACTAACACAGCATTAGTCAATATTACGGAAGATATCAGATATGGCATGGAGAACGGTAAGTTAACTGTACTTACTTTACTAGATTTTAGTAATGCATTTAATTCTGTCGATTACGACATTTTACTGGGCATATTAAGCTCTCTTAATATATCCCCAACGGTAGTTGAATGGTTTCGAAGTTACGTGTTTGGGCGCCGGCAACGCTTACGCATTGATGATACATTCTCATCATGGTGTAGCACCATTGCTGGTGTCCCACAGGGTGGCGTTTTATCACCTTTGCTTTTTTCAGTTTTTATAAACTCAATATCCACTAAGATAAATTCTTCCTATATGCAGATGATTTTCAGATATATTCACAAGCTACTCCTAGTGACTTAGCTGTAGCTATTAACACTATAAACAGTGACCTAGCAATCATTTCGGAATGGAGCAGAAATTATGGTTTCAAAATTAACCAATTGAAGACACAACTAATTATTATAGGTTCCCCGCATATGTTTACAAAATGCAATTTACCACAAGCAACCAAAGTTGTATTTGATGGTAATATAATCCCGACCAGTGACACTGTCAAAAACTTGGGTGTATTCATCGATAAAACTTTATCTTGGGGTCCTCAGTTACAGGAAGTTAGTCGTAAAATTTTTGCGGCTGCTCATTCTTTGAGAAGACTACAAAACTTTTTACCAACTGCCACTAAGATTGCGCTTGCGCAAACTCTTCTGCTTCCAATACTCGATTATGCAGATGTCAGCTATCTTGATCTCACTGAAATACAACTTGATAAACTTGAGCGACTTCAAAATTTTTGTATAAGATTCATATTTGGTTTGCGTAAATATGATCATGTGTCAGATTTTCGTAACAGCCTCAAGTGGTTGCCAATTCGCCTTCGCCGGAATGCTCATATTCTCTCACTTCTTTATAATATTCTTTTTTATTCTTACCTAAAAATCGGTTTGAATTCCTCAATGAATCACATTTGAGACATTTGAGATCATCAGAAAATTTGATATTAAAAATGCCAGCCCACACTACCAAATTTTTGGACAGATCGTTCACAATACAAGTTGTTTGATTATGGAATGACTTGCCGTTATCAGCAAGACGCGCTCAATCCCTACCGGTTTTTAAGAAACATGTACATGATTACTTTTCTCAACTTTGATTCTATCTAGTTCATTTGTATATAATTATTCTCCTTTATTTAGTTACAATATTTGTTTATATGTATGGCACTTTTATGTTATATGTAATAGTTTTAAAGTATATATTTATTTGTATATTTATACATATATATTAATAAATATATATGTATTTATCTTATCTATGTAGTTACTTATATACCATTATATATTTTTATTTTATGGCTTTAATAAAAATAATGTTATTTTGTCAGCAAACCACATGCACACACGTTTTTATTGCTTTTCTTGCAATGCTGTCCATCCAAAGGTTGTCTGGAAACGATCGCTCTTAGCGATGAGACCGCCCATTGTACCTGTGTGTATTTCTTTTTCTCATTTTTTTGTTATTTTTTGGCGTACAATAAAGTGTTATCTATCTATCTATCTATAGACCACCTAAAGCCACTAAAACGTTTATACCCCTAAGCCTAAAGGACTAACTTGAACATTTATTAATACTTTTATGCGAAAAGTGGGCCAAAGATACCTAGATTAACTGTTTAAATTTGACAAAAAATAACTTTGCGTACATCCGCTAGATTATATAGATTGACTGTACTGAAATAAATAATTAACATTTATTGTTATTTGGTTAAATACCAATATTTTTAAATGTTGTACCTAAATATGAGCAAGATAGTTGAGGACATCATCTACTCTAACTTGAAAGGTGGCCTGTGCCCAGCAGTGGAATATATATAGGCTGTTTACTTTTATATTTTTTTCCTTAGCCAGCAGCCTTGTGTTCCGTCTTGCCTGACGAAAAGGGGTATGGGAATAAATTGTTATCCCCCGAACCCCGAAAGTACGCCAGTTCCAGCCGACGCTGGAAGGGTGCAGATGTGTGCGTAAGCGTTTTTCTGATTCTGACAATATGGATATATTGTCATCATTTGCATAATGTAAAAGATAAGGTCCAACATTTTAAATTACTACCGGTTGAACGACGAAAAAAAAAAGACAACCAACCATGTTTTGTCATTAATACATTTTAAAATATATCGAAATTGATACGAATTCGATACTCTAAAATAAATATCGATATTTTTTTAAACTTATCGATATTTTTTGCCCAAGCCTATCGCAAATGAGTATTTAACTATTTAATGATAAATTCGAAAATGAAACAATGTTACAAGTATTTTTATAACTGCATAATTTTATTTAATTAACATAAATTCTGTTTTGCCGTGAGATTCCGATGGGCTTAGCTTTCCATTGACGTCAGTTGAGTTTGGTGTTGATACGTATTTTTACAGAAAGATTACACTATTATAAGCACACACACAAAGTCTCAATATACGGAAACGCGTAATTTTTGAGAAAAGAATAATTGAAAATCAATTATTCTTGCAATGTTTATGTCTAATCTGCTAATAAACTGACGCCATTTTGTAATATCATTGTCGACGTCAATAGGGATGTCGATTCTTTCCGAAAAATGTCGATTTTTAAATCGATTCCAATCTTAAGCTGAAGTATCGGTTCACAAAAAATCGATTTCTAAAATATCTATATTTTTTTAATGTTTTTATTTATAATGTAAATATAAACCCATTTTATGAAAAACAAGAAAGATACCATGATAAATGATCTCTTATTGAAATTTGTTTTATTTAACAGTACCTATTAGGGCAGATAACAAATAAAATAGGTTAGGTTCAACTTATGTCAAAGAACTGAATTGATTGACCCCGACTCCACCCGGTACGAGTCTGTCCTACCCCTAGAGTGGTTTTATAGAGCCGGAGGCGCGTAGGGGGAGCAGCCTCCGGCTCTCCTCGCCTCCGCAGCTTCGGCTTGTTGGTCGCCTTCGGCGACCAGCCTCAGCCGCTCCGGCTCGTCCGATGCCTACGATTTGTTACGCTAAGGCGTAGAGGTTGCTCTTCCCGCAGCGCCGGAGACGTAGCAGTCTCAAAATAGATACAGAAATCCTTATGAATCAGTCCCCTTATTTTTTTATGATGAAGGGGATTTTTTTCTCATAAAATGGATTTATATTTACATTATAAATGCAAACATGAAAAAATATCGATATTTTAGAAATCGATTTTTTGGGAATCGATACATCAGCTTACAATTCGAATCTATTTAAAAAATCGATTTTTTTCGGAAAGAATCGACATCCTTACTGACAATAATAATAAAAATGGCGTCAGTTTCACGGTAGGAATTGACTAAACATTGCAAGAATAATTGATTTTCAATTATTCTTTTTTCAAAAATTACGCGTTTCCGTATATTGAGACTTTGTGTGTGTGCTTATAATAGTGTAATCTTTCTGTAAAAATACGTATCAACACCAAACTCCACTGACGTCAATGGAAAGTCGTGCCACTGTTTCAATTTTGCTAGATGTCTGGCACTGCGATCGCCAATCCGTCTGCCAAGGGTGACATTAAGGCCAATTCACTTTATATTGGGCGAGGTCTATGTCCAGCTGTGGACCATAGCAAGTTGATGAAGAATAAGTTAGCTTTTAATAATAACAAGGTTTTTTTTATTATAGCTATGTTTTATTAAATTCTTTTACTTCTTTTTCAAACATATCTATTGTGTGGTCACAAACTTTCTGTAGATCTTTAAGCCCTCTTTTTAAAATTTCAAGGGCTGGTGTATCCTTTGTTTGTATTCTAAAATGCATTTTTGATTCGGCAGGATGTGGTACTGTGTATCCACAGAAGTCAACATCATCACTGAAAATAGAAAACTAAATCAATATAACTCACTATGCCATACCATAGCCAAGTTAGGGTTGTAAGCTGTATTTTGGCAAAATAAAATATATGTTGACTATAATACCATACATTAAAATAAATAATAATAATTATGAAACTATCAGGAATATTAGAATTATGTAAATTGAGCTAATAGTCTACAGATTAATATTGAGTAGGACATACAAGAGACAGCACATTTATCCCTTAAGTGGGGAATTCACTGAACAGACATGCCTGTAGACATGCCTGTCGGACTTCGCTACTATAGGTCTGTGCAAAGTTTGATAGTGTAGGACCGTCACAGCTGTTGAATGTCCGCGCGATCCCATTTTGACTGCGCGGGCATATACAAAATAAACTGATGAGTCTGTGTAGTGTATTGCGGCGACACATATGCCCGAACAGACATGCCCGCGGGCATGTCCGTCAAGTGAATTCCCCGCTTTACATGACAAAACAATGTTTTTTAAAACTAAGTCAAAATGTAAGAGCAGCTCAACGTTTTGAAATGTACTTCTGCAAATATATGTGAACCATAGGGTGAGAGTTAGAGAGAAGTCTATTTATTCAACATAATATAAATACACTTACATCATATACAGGGTTATTTTGCAATTATCATCCAAATTTGCAGAGAAGATTCAGAATAAGCAATATAGGCAAATGGTAAAGAAAAATTAAATTAAAAAAATCCGGAACATTTTATCCTTTTTATCTTTTAAATCCAATATACGTGGTAATGCATTATTTTAACTGATTGTCATTCATAAATACCTAACGCCTACTATTTTACTACGTGCGCACAAATTCGTAAGGGTCGATCAGTCGGCATAAACATTGTGGATTGAATCGCACACAGAGGAGTGAGCATACACGTAGTTGTTGCCCATAAATCATATTCAATTTGGAATAAGTTCAAATAAAAGTAGAAGTCATATTTACTCTTATTTAAAAACTGCAAATGTTTAAAATCTGGCTAATATTTGAAAAATAACCCTGTGTTTTGATATATTATACACACATCATATGTCATATATTTTTTAATCAAGAATAGACTGGACACTTAAAACACTAATGGCGAAATACTCAAACACTACTCAATTTTAATATGACGTTAAGTCTTGCAGTGTCAGTTATATTGACTTCGTGATAGAGACGGCACTAGACTTGACAACATTTTAAAATTGAGCATTATTTGAGTTCTGAGCATAAGATATATAGCTACAAAAAAATTTACTTTAGCAAATATATATCTTATTGACGCAATCTTCTTATATCTACAATATACTATATAATCTTAGTATATTGTATTTCTGTATGGGGTGGAGCTACTAAAACTAAATTTCTAGAAGTTGAAACAGCACAGAGAACTTTGTTAAAAATTATGCATTTTAAACCATAAAGTTTAATTGTTGTATTGAAGACAAAGGAGGAAATACATAGTAGCTCCAACTATTACTGTATCTATAATCATCAGAGGCATTAATCTACAATAAAATATACATACTAGCTGGTACCCCGCAACTTTTCCCGCATGTATATTTCAATTTCATTTTTGCACAGAACCCTAATTATTATTCTAAAATTAAAATAGTCTAAGTTACTCCTTATAACATCACCTGCCTGCCAGTGAAAGTCCCATCAAAATCGGCCCAGCCATTTTGGAGATTAGCCGGAACAAACAGACAGACAAAAGTTTTAAAAATGTGTTTTTGTTATATGTACTGTATATACTTTCATGTGCAATAAGTAAGAAGCTGATGTTTTGATATTACAAACAGACACTTCAATTTTATTTATTTGTTTAGATATCTACTAGAGATTCATCCCGGCTTCGCAAGGGTTATTTCTGAATTTCGATAACAGCACTGCACACAGCACACAGGGTACAAAGTAAAGCCTTCTCGAATTAACTTAATCCTAGACACAAAATTTGTCCAGTCATCTATGAGGAATTCAGTCACATACACATGGACAGGGGACCCAGGTTCGATCTCCGCCAGCACTAAGCAGCAGTGACAGGAAGCAGTGGGATGTATATGTAGGCTACGACTTTAACACATGGACAGAATTTTTTATATAAGGATAAAACTAAAATAGAAAGTATGTCTGTCTGTAGTATCGAAATAACTGTCTGTTATGAAGCTCTAAGGGTTATTTGCACGCTATTATAACGACAAACTATTTTAAAAAATTTTGTCTGTCCAGGCTCTCCTGATGCCATTGTGATGAAACTTCACGAACATATAAGAAACTATACCTGGAGTGATCTAAGCTATATTTTAGATTAAAACTTCTTTTTAGCGAATGGAAAAATTTTAAAGTAAATGGTCATTTGTATTTAAAAAAATCTAAATAACACTACCACTACTAACAGTCAAAGCTGCGGCGGTAATATAATAAAAAAAAAACAATAATTAATATGTAACCAGAATAGTTGACTTCACAATAATAAAATAATACTAACATATTTTAATACAATATGATAAAAATTTGTACTCACTATCTATTTATTAAACATTTTAATGCATTGCCTAAAGTATGACTTTCATCTTGAAATACATAAGTGCGGCAGGTCAGTCCAGATTCTTCATCGCCTGGTAGCTGCAATTATTATTTGTTTATAAGTAGTAGTTAAATTGTTCATGAAATAAGATGGTATTTAAGCTCGAAATTTTATATTAGATATACTGAATAGTATACTGACAAAGAGCATTACCTCAGAGATTTTCATAACGGAAATTTTCTAGCAGCTCTAAAATAAATACAAATACAAAATTAAAAAAAACACATTTGTCATATCATACTATAGAACACTATTACTCCTCCTACGGAGTATCATACACTCTTATCTATGGTCATTTCAGTTTCCATCACAGAGTAATGCTTTTTTAAAGATTTTTGGCTTGGATGCTTATTTTTTAAGCCATGTCTTCATTTTATTCGAATCTTCGTTTTTATAGATTTTTTGTTTAAAGACTTCTTTACAATATGTTGATGCGTCACATTGCGAAGTTTTTGGGATATTTAGACAGCAGCTTGAGCCAGCAGATAGTCGATGACGACAATATCTCAAGGCGCCTAAGCAGACACATTATTTTGAGGTACACATCATCGTCGGAGCATTTGTTTCATCGTTCCCACTAATAGTTTATATGCACAGATATTTTATTAATACATAAGATAAGATGGCACCACTTTTACGTATCAAAATCCACTTTAAACTAATATTTATACAATAAAGTTACAAGACAAGAGCAGTGATCCGCCGCCGGTCAAGTTCCCGCCAAAACACCATTTTGTGGTGTAGGTACTATGATAAAGCAATATAACTGGGATAATGATATCATCACTCAACGTGGACTACATATAAGGAGTAGAAATAACATCTATTTAGTTCAGTAATATCATATTATATTTACAGAAGAAGATACCATTCATGTGGCTCTACCTGGAACTACGTAACACAAACCCTGCCCCCTACCTATGTACCTACGTCACAACCACTATATATAAGTCTCCTCCAAACCAATAAAGAGAGAGTTATTAAACTGCATCACTGAGTTTAATTTATTGCACAGTTCAAACATTACAATGTATTCTTTCCTGACCAATATGATATTGTTTCCATCACAGAACACAATTACTCTCTAGTTTCCATAGAATTATTACCAGTATTTTTAAACTAAGATTTTGGCTTCGATGCTTCTCTTTTAAGCCATGTCTTCATTTTATCTCAGTATCAAGTGATAATAATTCTTCATAGTACACTACTTCACAATATGTTGATGTGCCACTTTGCGTAGTTTTTGGGAGATTGACGGCAACTTGCGAGGAAGCAGATAGTTGGCGATAGTATCTCAAGGCGCCCAAGCAGACAGACACCTTATCTTGAGATTCACATCACCATCAGAGCACTTGTTTCACCGTTTTCACTATTAGTTCACATGCGCAGACATTTAATACACTTCAAACCAATTCTTAAATAATAATACAGGAGCAGTAATCTGCCGCCGGTCAAGTTCCCGAGAAAGCACATGCTTTCACATATAATAAATATGCACAGATTAATATATTAATAAATATGTAGAATACTTAGAGTATAAATAAGCAAACTATAGAGCGCGTGTATCTGCTATTGCCCATATGCAGAGCGTTAGCAATGACCTAAAAAAATAGAGGACATGAACTAAATGATCCTAACGCGTGCCAAAATTATTAGTGCTCCGCTTATTACCTAGTGCTATCCACCCATGTCTGATCGTTAATTGTATTAGTTAATAATTGTAATGTAAATAGTTTACTTCATAAAAATCAATTCTAAATAAATAGTTTACTTCATAAAAATCAATTCCGTTTCAGAAGAGGTCGTTCGACAACTGATGCTGGTGTTGCGCTGATTAAATATCTTTTCAATGCATGGGAGAATTCACAGGATGATTTGGGTATATTTTGTGACCTATCCAAAGGCTTCGATTGTGTTCACCATGAAACATTAATCAGGAAACTACAACACTACGGTGTAAGAAGTAATGCTCTTAAATTAATTGTTTCATATTTAAGTAACAGAATGCAAAAAGTTGTCATTAATAGAATGAGTTCTTCCGGGTCGATAGTACAAATGGGAGTGCCTCAAGGCTCAATTCTCGGCCCCTTTCTGTTTCTTGTATATTTTAATGACTTACCTTACAAGGTAGGGGATAAACATAATATAGTATTATTTGCTGATGACACTTCATAAATTTTTAAATTAAAACGACAATCATTAAAATATGACGAAGTAAATAATGCTATATCTAAATTGGTAAATTGGTTTAATAACTTGCATTTAAACGGCACTAAAACGAAATTTATGAAATCCATGACTCCAAATGTCTAGGAAAGGAGGAGAGGAACTGAGTCTTGTCTATACCACCATTTTTCTTGGAATAACAATTATCAAAATTAGCAAATAGACTTAGTTCAGCAGCATATGCTGTAAAAACGATTAGAAATCTTACTAGTGTGGAAACAGCTAGACTTGTTTACTTTAGCTATTTCAATAGCATAATGTCGTATGGTATTTTGCTATGGGGATACGCGACTTACACTGAAATTATATTTCTTTTACAGAAGAGGGCCATAAGAGCAATCTATGATTTAAAACCCAAAGAGTCGCTTTGACAAAAATTAAGGAAATTAATATATTTACTTTGGCCTCTCAATAAATTTATCAAAATGTAATGTATGTACACAAAAATAAAGTTAGTCATACAAAAATAAGTGATATTCATTCTGTAAATACTAGATACAAACTAGTAGTACCAGTTACTCGACTCCACCGTGTCAGTAAGTCATTCTTGCGGCAATGTATACGCTTTTACAACAAAATACTAGAAAATATACAAAATTTAACCTGCTCAAAGTTCAAAAAAATTATTAAACAAAGTTTGTATAAAAACGGTTAATATAATATTAAGGAATTTATAGATGATAAAAACTCCTGGGAATGAGGTGATCTCTAGCAAGCTATTTCTAATTTGTTTTGTGTGGCTAATTGTGATTACATGATTGTAAGCTCTTATTTAAAAAGAAGTCCCGCTGGGTTTATTGCTGGTTCTTCCCAGGACAAAGGTTTTTTTCGAACCAGTGGTATTTAAACAAAAGAGTGACTTTCAATAATTATTATTTATAATCTATATTGAATAAAAAAGTTTCTGTTTCTGTTTCTATTACAGCTTACAAAATTGATTAATCGCAATCACATACTTACATTAAAATAATATTTTAGATTTTAAGATAGGATTCGATGCACAGACTATTATAAATAATTAAAAATTAAAAATTTTGTACAGCCGACTTCAATATAAGTTATTAAGGATAACTCAAAAACTATTGGTTGACCTTGATCAAACTTATATGGGACCACACGAAAAGTACCAGCTTTCAAATAAAAAAAGAATCATTGAAATCGGTTCACCCAGTAAAAAGTTATGAGGTAACACATAAAAAAAACAAAAACATACAGTCGAATTGAGTACCGTCTCCTTTTTGGAAGCCGGCAGAAAAGGATAATGCGCATATTCGATGTATGGCTAATTTTGCAATATAAGTCATCCAACAAATATAAAATCTGATTACATAAGTGAAATAAGGATTAGTAATAAATAATTTGTAAAATAATGAAGTCTTTATTTTATCCTGGCAAACAATACCTTCTTAATACAGAGCGAATGGTTTAACGTTTTGTTGGATATTGACTACGAGCACTTAACCATATAGAGACGTAATAGAAGGCGACCCGAACCTGTCAACTAGTCAGTGACTAGTCACTGATATATTTCGCAACACAAATGTGTTCCGTCAGTTACGACCAAAAACTAGAACCGAATAGACGGCTTACATTTAAAACATAAATTACCTTAAATTTACGGCATCATGTCCTGTTGTGCCGTTAAATGGTGCGGAAACAACAGTAAAACATGTACTGTAACTACAAACAATATTACTTTTCATAGGTAAGTCCATTTCTTTATTTTACCAAAATATTTTCAAAATTTTTATTAAGCAACGCGGGTCAAGATAAACTGGACCGCCGCGTCACGTGTCACTCCCCGTCCTTTTTGCATTTACTGCAAACATGTGCGTCTATCTCTCGCTCTCTTGATGCCAATGACTAGTGCTGTGCGGTGCATTTATTTTGTATTGTCGATAATTACCCACAAAATGATTATTGTATTTAGATATCGTTTTTCTCTTAGATATTAGATATAGATAGATACATAATACACCGTTTATTATGTACTACTGTTAGTAATACTTTATTATATTAATTATAATCATTCTTTTCGTGTATGAGTTTTGGATAGATATGATAACAATGTTATTTTATTTAAACTGTATGATTTTTTCCCTATAGGTTTCCAAAAGACGGTAATATGAAAAACAAATGGATAAACGTTACAAAAAGAGAAAATTGGTTCCCATCAAAATATAGTGTCATGTGTTCGAAACATTTTACTGAGGATTGTTTTTTGATGACAAACAACAAGCGGCGACTAATGAGGAGTGCAGTACCTACGCTGTTTTTGCCTCGAACGGTTAGCAACAAAATGCATATTATGTAACTGCCTAATATTACGTACGTGTCTTAACCGACATAAGCCCTTAATTAGAAATTGAAGTTGCTATGTAAAATAGGTATATATTTATATTTATAATGGTTTTAATCGTTATTCTAGATATTTTATCGTATTTTCTACCTTTTAGATGGATACACCAAACGAAGTAGCTGCGACCTTACTTCGAGAAAATGCATCAAAAATTGCTTCAAACTCACTTGTAGAAATTCAGCCGGCGGAACTTACTACACCTAAATCGAATAAAAGAAAAGAGACACCTTCTCTCTCAGTTTCATTCGCCAGTTAAAAAAAGACTATGCAGACAGATTTTAGAGATATCTGAAAAACTTAACCATAAAAACAAGCAGTTAAAAAATTTAAGAGAAAAAAATACAGATATTTAAAGAAAAGAGTTGCTTCCATGAAGACAATAATTAAAGAACTTGAATCCAAAAATTTTGTTACAACTGAAAATACTAACATTTTAAATCAAATTGGCGTGTGCAATAAAGAACTTGTAAAACGACAGATAATGAAAAAAAAATCAGGCCACGTTTTGAGAAAAAAATATTCACCTGAACTTCGGTCATTCGCAATGACTCTTGCATTTTATTCGGCTAAAGCATATAAATAT